CCCGCGGCCCCCTGTCCCTCCGAGCGCTTGGACAAGGCGAGAGCAGAGCTTCGGAGAGGCATTGATATCTTTTCTTTTCGCTTTAGTTCTTAGCGCTACTTCTGGTTGATATTCTAGCATTGGCGGAAGTAATGAATTCGCCTACAGACAGTTCAGTTTAAGATGACTCGGGCACTGTCGGCTGTAGCTACAATTAGGGGTAAAGCAAATTTATTTGGTACACCTTGCAACTTGTTTCTCTTGTGTCTGGGTGGGTGGGGAGAGGGAATCGTAGGAAAGGCGTAAGATGAGCATTTACGGCGCTAAACGGACGATTTTTTTTTTGTCTGCAGTTGTTTTGGTCGGAACAAGCTGCATTTGGCCCTGTCCTTAGTTATGAGTATAGCAGCTCGACATGTTCTGAGACCGGTGGCTGGGGAAGTGTTAGGATCATGGTCGAATACATTCAGCTGGATATTTAAATTAAAACTATATTTATTGATATAGTGTTACAAAACAATTTAGATTCCCACGCAGTCATTTTTTCAAAATATGAAAAACTATATGTTTCACTCCACATATTTGATTTACAAAATTTAGCTCAGCTCTTCGCAAGGTCACAAATACTTTTTTGATGGATCAAATAATAATTTATTAAGTGTGGTGTTTGTGTTTTATCAGTCATTTTCTTTAATTCTCTGGACGACATCATTCCAGCAAACCTGAAACTAGGATTAGATTAAACAGGAAAAAGTGTTAGTATTTTTTGATAATCTCAACAAGATTATGACAGAGGAGACTCCTCTATTTGGTTCCAAGCCCCCGGGATCTCGCCGAACAATTGAACATTGTTCGATTTCACCAAGATGGTTTAATCTCCCAACATCTTAGGAACATAAAGAGTCCTGCTAAATCGAGCAATCTTGAAACGTCCTGCGAGACGGGACATTTCATAGGACCCATAGAAGAGATTATATAACAAAATACGTGAGTAAACTTTCACATACAAAAGTCAGAGCCAGAAAATTGAATCCTTTTTTCCTTAGCCATACAGGTTTTTCTGCCTGGGACAGATTATTTTTAGTTTATACTGATATCATCTACTTCTACGTTAAAGTAATGACAGACTAGACAAAAAAGAAAACGTTTATACTTTAATGACTGGTCACCAAATAAAAAATAAATAAACATGGTTTAATTTTTCTGACCACATAAAAATTAGTAAAAATGGTAAGGCTATTTAAATAACTTTTTAATGGTATTATTTTTTGTTTACAAATATGGACAATGTACATCCTTAAGTATATATACAAAACAACAAGATGTCAAATCACAATGGTTAAATTTCAAAAAATTTACACTTGCAATAGGTGAGCACTACAGCACATTTTTCAATATCAGTTAATTTGGCAACTTTTATGACTTAAGTTAGCTATTGCCTAAAGATGACAATAAGGTACCATTAGGTTACAGTCCACGGTACAAATGGTTTTAAATAAATTTGGTACTTTTCAATCGTTTTTTAAAACAAATTAAAACAACGTAATACTTCTCAAAACTAAAATAAAGTCATAATTAATCTTTAGACTCAACCACTTCTATGGACCATATATCTGACACTCTAAATGCATTACTGGTACGATTTTTGCTGTCCATTAAAAAATATCCGCGCTTCATGAGACGATGGACTGTAATATTGTAGATAGATGAAACCCTTTTTCTCTGTTTTTGCCAAATATTGTTGACGGAATTATGCACCATTGTACCACTGCTAGTGACCTTATACCTAAGATGTCTTCACCAGCATCACTGTCAGACTTAGCATTCAGTTTCTTTGCCTGGCAGTAATGCTGGCGGTAGACATCATGTTAATCCACCATCTATCTGATGTCTTTTTTTAGAGTCTGTCCGATGGACTCCTCCAGGTGAATGGTCAGGGGTAGACTTGAGTATATCAGGTTGCTGATGGGACATACTCGATGGACCATGGTTTAGATGGATACCATGACTTCCTAATGATGATAACGTTGTGTTTCCAGAATGATTTACAGGGCCTGATAAGGTAGAATTTGTTAATGGATGATGGGTTCCATGTGATGATAAGGTGGCGTGGCCATGCGAAGTGAGTGTGCCATGTAGCATGTGAGAGCCCACAGATGACAGGGTGTTCAGGGCAGTAGAGGGCCCAATAGAGTTTGTTGGAACTTGTGGACCAGCAATTCGGGATCGCAGCGACCGATGTGAACTGTTCCGTGTCAGTGAACCCATTTGGGGGGTTCCTGGGAGAGTTCTTCCCATGGCATTCATGTAGTCAGCAATAAGAACAGTAAGCTCCAAAATCTGCCAATTAAAAGACAAAAAAAGTTACGATAAAAGGTCTACCAGAATTATTAACTTTACTGGTAATTTAAGTTTGCAACTGGAATGCACCTGCAATTGTTCAACACTACATTGCACACATTTAAGTGTATGACTGAACATTTTAACTAAGTTAACCACTTCCCTTCAGATTAGGCCATGAAGCTTTGGCCACTTAAAAGTTTCAAATTTACTGTTGTACACTTATAAGTAATCAAATTTCCAGTCCAACATGTAAGCTTGTGCACCACAGAGTTGAACACTACAATATGCAAGCCAGTTACACACTTGTTTTCAATGAATTTTTACTACAGTGTGTTTAGATCATTGACAAAGTAGAAATCATACCTTCGGTTTACTCAAAGAGAAAAGGAGTTTTTGAGAGCCTAAGCCATCATCGTTCGAGACCACTAGCATGAAATCCTCTTGACAGCCACCAAACGTAACAACTGAAGTGTATGCATAGCGAGCTAGGGCTTGCATAGTGCCCAACTCTAAGAGGGTGATGCTGTCCTCAGAAACTGCCAGCCAAACAACTGCAGGTTCAGCTTGTCGAAACTAAAAGACAAAACACAGTTATTTAATTTTTATATTTGTTTTGATGTGTATAATACAGAGAAAAAAACAAACAAAAAAAACACCAACCCTTGCTTGGAAAAGACCAGATCCAAAGTACGGCCATTTTCTTGTACATGTCAAGTAAATTCTCACACAATCGCCAGTGCTTCTACCCTTTAGAGACACCCACTTTTCAATAAGCCTTTCTTGCAAATCCCTGTGAAAACAAAAAGTAATTATTTACAAACAGTTACATTAATGCATTGTATATAACACCTGGTAAAAAGTAATAAATTTAGTGTAATTTTCACTATATTTTCTGAAAAAGTCAAACTTACTTAAGACCATCCTGAGTGAGGCCATCACGGTATCGGTATGGATAAAACTTGTCAAGAGCTTGCAAGACTTGATGTTGTGGGTGATTTCCAGCTCCACCGCTACCCCTTCCCTTCTCTGGGTTGTACTCGCCGAGGTCAATCTGCACATTTCCAATACATGAGAAACATAATGCCCAAAAGCAGGGGAACAGAAATATAAATAAAAAACAAATCATGAATTATTACCTGGGCCATGAGGGATGCGAGTTCAAGTGCGAGTTCTCGATTGAGGGGAAACCTCCCTTGAACAACTTGCTGATTCACTTGGTAGCAAAGCAATAATCTCTCTCGGTCAGTCTCTCTTTGAGCAGATGAGCGGAAGTAGAGTCGATTTTTGAATGTTAACTGAATAACACGTGTATTCTCAAATTTGCCAGACCCCTTTTCCCTGAGGGCTGTTTCCCATTTAGATATCACGTCACATAGCTGCAAGACAATAGAAAACAATTCGATGTCAGATTAAATTAGCCCACGGAAACGTTCCCATGTCAAATATTGCAGGATTATTGAGTTAGTTTGTGACCGAGTGGCTGACTAGTCCAGGCCACTTTTTCAGTTTTGCTGTACTTCATGCAGACGTGCGGGTGGGTTGCTCATTCGCTCGGGGCCATTAGCTGCCGTGGGCAGCGACGATAGCCGAAACCCACCTGCACGCCTGCAGCACAACTACAAAAAGAACGGTGCACATTACCACCACATAGCACAAGATGATTACCTTCGAGTTGAGCTCCACAAAATGTTCCAAATCCTTTTCAATTGGGTCATCACTAAATAGTGTAAACCCAGAATGGGATGCGTCACGACAGCCAATTTCCTGGCTTAAAGTGCACAAAAATTCCTCAATTGTTGTTGACCCATCAAAACTGACAACCTGAAACACAAGTAATAAAGCATGTAAGCCCATTCATTAAGGTTGCACACAACACTGCTTATCCCACAGATCTTACTTGGTATGCTCCATTTAACATATGAACTGGAATGGCATGAGGTAACGAGTGGTGGTATGGGTTCTTCAAAAGAATTGAGAGCACTTCCATTCGAGACGGCTTTGCCTCTCGACTCCCGTTTTGAATAGTTCTTTCCAAAGCCCTCTCACAGTAGGCCGCATACTTTCCGCATTCGGTCCTAAAACAGTGGAAAAGAACAATTAATTTCCTTAACGGCCAGGGTGCATCATAGTAGAATTAATTTGTGATTTGAACCCACTTAGTGTCTGCGTTCCGCCTCAGATGAAGCTTGAGGTACCACAGCAACTTGTTGTTCTTGGGAATGAAGAGGGAGACGGCCAGTGCCAGAAGCTGCCAGCCCTGGACGAACACGAAAGGCGCCGGGTTCGTCTTGCAGTCAAGGGCGGCCGATGTCTGTGCGGACGAGGACACGCCCGCTGCAGAGTCCCTGGAGAGGGCGCCGGACTGGCTCACCACGGACTGAGCCTGGCGAGTGGGTGGAGGTGAGGCGGACGCTTTCGCCAGTAGGGCGGCGTTCTGGGACGCCTGTTTCTGCTGTTCCTGCTGGTGGTTGTTCAGGAGGCTGGCACCATTACCCACGGGGGAGTTGGACGCGGCGCTTGACGAGTCGCAAGTGAAGAGGCTCTGGGTTGCGCACAACAGTAGTTGCTGCAAAGGCAGGTGTGAGTGTGTTGGTACAGTGTTGGAGCTTCGAGGTGGGCCACTTCATTTCATTATAGCAGCAGTTCAACTTTTTTGTTGAACACAAACAAAAACAACTTTAAGTACTAAATTAATTTATGACTTGTCTTGATATTTCGACTCATAAATGTAATCGTAAAAACGAGCAGCGAATAGTTCTCACTCCGACTGCTAAATTTATCAAATCAGCACAGCGCTACTTAGCGCGTCCCCTGCGCGCCTGTCTTTCGGGGGGTAGGCAACGCGGTACACACGCGTGAAGACGCGCACCCACGTGGCCTACCTTGCAGGCGGTAGCGCGTTGGGGGTGCCACAGAAACTAGTGGCTTGGACGAGCTATGACACGCTTTGACTGTCTAGAAGAATTTTATCTCGGTTACTGGAAGAATGTTTGTTCTGATGCAAGACAGTTTTGTATCGGAATATTAACAAATTGAAATAGGAACACTACAGGAGACGTGAGAATGAGAGGGTTCGATCTACGAACATGAGTCCTATAGACTCTCTATGGGCTAGTTCTAGTTCGTGCAAATATTTGATAACAGGGATAGAAATTAAGACTAAAATTTCAAGACAAATAAAATACAATTACAGGGTAAATTAGATCGATCCCTTTTTCCAAGAAAGCTGTGGCAAACAAAACAGCTTAATAAAAGTGAATGCGAACGAAGGAAGTGGAATGTTAAAAAGAGTTTTTTACCGGCCACATATTAGCGGATTGGCGAAGTGTGATAAAATTCAAGATTGTAATATAGAAAGTGTTTGGTTGAAATGATCCTTAGTGTGAATGGTGCAGCAACCAACCATAACCAAGCATGAACGCAGAAACAGATGTCCAAAGCTGAAAGCGTAGTTATGATGACAAATGAATGAGGCAAGTTGAATAATTACGGTGAGAATCGAAATAGACAAAAACGGTACAGCCCTCAGAACATCGAGCCAAAATGGATGTGAACTTAAAAGATTACCGCAAACAAATCACTATGCCCAAGTACACTAAAAAACTCAGCAGTGTACATTGCACACTGTATATACAGTGGCATGCACACGTCAGATCCCGGGTGTCATGGAGAATACGTGGCAGCTCAATGGGTTGCCTACGCACTGGCGTGCAGGCGCGGTACGTGAAGGGGGAGCGGAGGAGGTGGCGTTTTAAGGTGGCAGTTTTAACTGTAGGACACATGGTGTCCCACACTTTTAACTGCGGTACACCTTGTCCTACACTTATAACTGTAGGACACCAAGGTACTGCACTTAGAAGTGTGATACTGTGCGACACTTGAGTTTCCAGTGCGATCTAGTAAGCGATAGGGTTCAAAGCGACTTTCACCGTAAGTTGTTTAACGTTACCAAAATATTTTTAAAAATCGGTAAATCAATTTGAGTCCTATCACATGGTAGCTCCTTTGAAAAATCTTTTTACGAGGAAACTGAAAATGTCATCCACTTTTCAAAGTAATCTACCTGAAAGGAAATAGTGATAACATGTGTATACCATGCCCACTGTAGCCTATCTGACGTGTGCATGCCATGCACACTGTATACACAGTATGCAATGCACAGTGTTGAGTTATCAGTGTAGAAATTAAAAATCGAATCGATGAGGGATCGACGTTGAAATCGAGATTAAGTCGACATGCGAAATCCGTTTTTTCCAACCAATGTCAACGTGGATTCAACGTCAACTCCCACGTGAACGCTGAGAATATCTGGCTGGGGTGTACATCCACAGTTTATAAAAATAAACAATAAAATAAGCAAAGCACGGTGCACGAGACAAGTAATAAGTAAAACCCTGAGGATACCGGGGGTGAAATAAGTGTACACATTCTACATTTGTTACTCTTCTACTAGAAATAAACTAATAAATGAGATCTGGTGCACGATTTAAAACAAAGAGTATTGAAACATGCTTTTTCTAACTAAAGGTTTGGTGTATCTCACCCAATATGGAGCAAAAGCTATGCAGTGCTTAAACGAAAATATTACAACGGCTGATCAATTATTCTGAAGAGATGATCTTCTACAAGTGGAGCCGTAGAGTCAGCTGATCCCGATGGATGATATAGTCACTCTACAACCAGAAGTATGGTACATTCAAACACTTAAAAGCGCGTGTCAACCTGTCAACCACTAAAGCGCGAACTAAAGTTATATCACACACAGAAGAGTGTAACAACCAGGTTACATACTCTTAATTGCCAGACAAGTAAACACCTTTCCGCGCTTTTTATTGTTACTTGAAGGAGCTAACTTTTCGGTGGATGACATGGCTGTCACACACTTTTGTGTCTGACATTTTTTCACGCACTTGTAAGAGTTCGAATGCCACACACTTCTAACTGTAGGGCACATGTTAGTAAGGTGCTTTCACCATATGTACACCAAGGCATTGGCGGAACCTGTACCACAATTCATTGAAACCCACAACCACCCCCAAATTGACTTACATTTCTTAGAGCGCGAATTAATGCTCTGGTTTTCTGGGAGTGCTGTAAATTGTAAAAGTAGTTTGTTTCTCCTGAGACGAACGTGATGCGAAATGTAATGCTTTGAAAGACCGAAAAAACACACAGGGTTTGCCTAATGGAGTAACTTCCTGAGTTGAGTGGCAATAGTGCCGAAAGAACAATATTCCACCACCCCACATTTCCTAAACAGTTACAAAGCTAGCGACAGGAAAATGAACAGATTTACTCTCCTCACTACCTGGAATACTCCATAACCTATTCTAGCCATTCTAAAACACAGAAACAGATCGCCTAACCAAATGGATACGTTGACAACAAATAAAGGATAACGTGAACAAAACAAAAGAAGCAGGCAAACTTACACGCGAGTGCTTAAGCTTGCTGAGGCTCCGGTTTACCTGCACCCCTCCCTTGTGGTGCACGTGCCGGCTCGTCTGCTTGACAAGCGCGCACAGCAGCTCGTTCTGTAGGTCCGGCATGTCGAGGCACTGCTGCAGCGCGTTCTGCGCCAGAACCACGTGGTAGTCGATGCCGGCCTGCTCGAGGGCGACCGAAATGAACAGCTGACAGCACTGCAACCGAAAGCAATACTTAAGACCACGGTCTTTTCTGAGCGGTGAGTGAAAAGCAGACGGGCCGAGCGTACCTTGAAGAGCTTGACGGCTTCCGCCTGTAGGGCGGGGGAGTTGAGGGTGGTGAGCGGAGAGGCGATGGGCTCCTTGCTGTGCAGAAGGTGGGGGTGCCTCCACAAGACACAGTCTGCAGGACAACAAGGCATTAGCATTAGAGTAGGAGCACGGGTAGGTTGCGGCCGCGGTCGCAGCGTGGCCGATCGGTGCCGATGGCCGGGCGCACTTACTTGCGTCGCCGTCAGTTTCCATGAGTTTCTGCACCAGTTGCTCGTACTGCGTCCCTGCGTTGGGGCCTCCGCCGGACACCACGGTCAGATGGTACAGCCACGTGTCCTGGAGAGACAGGCGTACGTAAGCACCACAAGCACACATAGGCAGGAGCGTGTCCCTCACCAACACTCACCCTTTCTTGTTTGGAAGGCATCAGTAGGTACGTTGGTCCCTGGTGAGTGGGGAAGATTCCAATAGTGAGGTCAGAGCCGTCCGTGTCCTGCTCCTCAGAGTCCGAATCCGACACGTGGTCCACCTCCTCCACGCGGGCGTCCCTCATGTTGATCTGGCCGATGGGATTCTGAATGGAGAGCAAACGGTGTCAGGTAAACTTCAAACATTAGGGTGGCCCCCGCATACACACCCCGGACCAGTCGTACTGTCTCAGGGCGTCCTCATGGCCCAAACGAGTAGGCAACTCGCCCACATGCCTTGCATGCGGAACAGTATAACTACAAAATGTTCCGGGACCGGGTTCCGTGGGCCACCATGGATTTTAAGATTGTAATTGGTCGCGTCACGTTCTCGGCCCTATAGAGCACTCACCGTTTCGCTTGGAGTCTTGAAGTAAAGGAACATCTTGCCCAATAGGACGCACCAGCATTTGCGGGCGTGCCCGTTCTTAACTTTAGTGAGCCAGCCCTGAATTGTTGGCTTATTGTCATCTTTCGATAGAAGTAGCTTGGCAGCGTTCCGTCTCTGCACGTTCTACAAAGGAAATGCGAGTTTAACATGCGAAAGCTCGGTAATATTTAAGTAGCACTAGCAATTCTCACTATCGCAGAAGATACTCACCTGAAGAATTCTAATCCAATCCTCCATGGTGGCGATCGAGTCTGCGGTCAAATAGTAAGTTTTCTTGCCAGTCGAAATTTCAAACGTTGCCGCCCCCTCTGCCCTATTTATCCTACATATTTCATCCAAGACAATCTGGCCCTGTGGTTTTCTATTAACATCACTCTGTAACGAAAATAATGGTAAATAAAATATGCAAAGTCATTATTTTCTTTGTTTTAACTTCACTACAAATACAATTCTCACATTTGGCGGTCAGTTGTAAAAACTACAGTAGGCCAAATAATGATATACTTACTTGCGATTTCCAATAGGTGAGTATGCCGTTTTTAAGGACGAACCACCGTTTTCTCCACGTTTTTAGTTTGCCACCTAATTTGGCAAGATGCCCTGATTTTTCCAGAGATTCGGTTTGTCTATTCGTGGTTTGATAAATTGGTAACTGAGCTTTTCCTAATGTATTTTCAGCATAAGAAGAAACTCGCATGAGCAAAGAAGGCATAGAAGATTCAATACTAGAAGTTTCACAGCCTGAGAATGCATCCGGGGGTATGGCGTAGTCCTCTGATAGACCGGACTCAAGAGAAGTGTCTGAGGAGAAACGGGATAAAATGTAAAGAAACGTCACACAGTCATGTGCACATTTGTAATTGGAAACCCATACATTGCATACCTCTCCGGATGCTTTTGGAAGGAGAACCAGAAGAACTCTGTTTGGCCGGCGACAGACTTGACGTTGTTTTGAGACTTTTACTTGGACTTGAACCAGAGCCGCCAGATAATGACGATTCTAGAAGTTCAGAAAACATGACATGAGAAGTGTCACAAACCATAGATCAGTTTGATGGAAAGCTTCGTTTTATCAGGGTTCGGACGAGGCATGACTAATTAGACGTCGATATGACCCATGCGACTTACCCGTGTTTTCACTAGAGCTATTCGTCGCCCGAAGCTCGTGGCCGACAGCATGCAACCCACCACCACTCTGAATCAGCAAATGATTGTGGTCACCCTCACCATCAGACGAGTCGTCCGAAGAGTCGCCCGTGAACGGCATGGATCGGATTTGACTGGCTCGCTAAAAGTAATATAAAATTAGGTTTTAAACTTTGTTTTCTCCCAAACTGAAGAAGTCTATAACAACAGCGGGACTCACCCCTTTCACTGTAGCATAGACAGGAACACTTATATCACAGTACCCCGAAGGGATTTTGCTATTATTATTAGTGGAGTCTGTTGATTGACTACAACTAGAATTGACTTGGAGCCCCTCCGCGGCAACCTGCGCGAGAGACAAAGGTTAATCCACATTTATAGTGTAGACAAGTTAGTCTTCTAGGTAATGGAATGCCCTGCGCACGGCAAATCAATTGAGCTCCGAACGAATTGTTCGATAGGGTTTATGGATGGCCGTAATAAGTTTAAAATGTAAAATAATGTAGAAGGAACATTTTTAAGATAAATGCACCATGACGTCTAAATGGCTTCCAATATCAACCATGACGCCATCCAGAAGGCACATAAAAAGTACAACGACAAATGAACTGTTAGAGTCTAAGCACCTGATATATACGAGACTCCCACGATGGAAACCTGTGCAGCGGGGGCGTGGGGGGCTTCGGGGTGCTGAGCTCCGACACGGATCCGCTACTGGTGCTGCCGTCCGCGGTGGCGGCCGTCCACGGAACCCGCTCCCGGCTCGGCGTGTAGATCTCGGCGTAGTCGTGGGACATGTCGTCGTGGGCCTCGGCGGCGCCCCTGGCAGGAACGAGGACGAGGCCCTCAACGGCCGCGCCCAGATCCGCAAGGCGCGAGGTGTCGTGCTGCGGCATGGCGGCGCTGGCCGACAGCTGCCGGCGGTGGTGCAGCTGCTTGGCGGCGCGCTTGTGCAGCGGGTCCACCTCGGAGTATAGCGGCTCGGCGGGACCCACCACGCTCTCGTCCATGGACTCCCTGCAAGAGAACGCACGCCGTCAGACGGGTTCCAGCCAGCGCCAGTGGCTACATGTTGGCGACAGTATCAAATGTTTTTTTACTAAGGCCCCTAATGGACATGTCGTGCATGAGAATGAGAGTAAAGACGTTGCTGACCTAAGTATGTAGAAAAAATGTGCCGTAACAAAAATAATCTATTGAAAGGTGCGCAAGAGATTTCGCATAGGCGCGAAAAGTTTTGTTTCTCAGGAAAAATGCCGAAAAATCTACAACGATGATCTACACCAAATAGTTTGCCACGTACGTGTCGAGAGGCACCCCGATGTGCCGTTTCACCTGAGGCGACCGTCGGGGAGACTGCCTTCCACATCTACAACGCAACATCCGACTTAGCCAAGGAGAACAGGAACAGTTTGACGGGAAACGCGGACCGAAGGGGGCTTCATTGATTTTAGAAACGTGGAGTCTTAGCTAGATTGTGTGTATATGTGACTTAGTACAATTACGGAAATGAGTGGATTCCGGTTAATCGAGATTTAACGACAATACCATTCTGGAGCGAAAATGAAAATCAAGTCCAATTATGACGTTACACCGGAACACTGACCTGCTGGAGCCGCCGCTGTCCGACCGTCTCCTATTGAGAGCGTTGGCGATCAGCAGCGAGGCCGGCGACGATGACATGGGCCTGGGCTCGGGCCTTGGCCTGGACTCCTCGGCGCCAACATCCAGGCAGAGGCTCGACCGCGACGAGGCCTGAGAGGACAGAGGAGGCAGGTCAAAAATTCATTTTACGTTGCAAATGAAACTCACTTCCTCAAGGCATCACACATGACGACGCTACTAACAGTCACCGGCCGATCTCGGAAGGTGGCGGCGACGGACGACGTTTGAGCCAGGTGGTTCCGGAGCAGCTCCAGCTGGTGGTTGCACTTCTGGTTCTGCTCCCGCAGCAGCTGGTTTTGTTCCTCGAGCTCCCGCAGCTTGTTCGTAACCCACTCCTTGATGCGGGCCGCCTTTGCCTCCACCTGCTTGGCCTCCTGGAGCCGCAGCTGACGCTGAACAAACATGTTAAGTAAATAAACAAGAGGAACAAGGACTCGCGAACGAAAATATTTTGATTGATGGCAGCGGGTGAATGATCAAGCGATGACAGCCTGTGTGACACATATCCGAGCATATCACACCTATGATGTATCTAGTAGTCACTTTCAATTATTTTTTTTGCAGCATTTTCTGATTCTGCTCTTTAATGTCATTTCCTATCGGGCCTTAAGATTCATCGTAAAATTTCCATTCAAACGTAACCACATAAGATAGGGATCCGAGCCATAGCTTACTAAGCACGTCGTGCATATTACAGATTTCTAGAATTTAAATGAACTTATAGTTATTTCTAGGAACCTTTCGTAACCCTATCACATGTAGGCTTCTTTAGAAGGCAATTCCAAAAGATATCCGATAATGTGATCGAAAATAAAACTATAGAGCTCATCTAGAAAATATTCCACAAAAAACGTATGTGCCCACAGAATCGCACAGAATGCATCAATTGATGTGACATGTGTCTCACTTGTTTTCGGGTGCACACACACAAGTCAGAAAATAACACAAGAAGCCGCAAGAACCATGATAATGATAGTTCGGCAGCGACAGTGTTAATGCACCCGATAACCAAAAGGTCTTTCCCACAGAAAGCACTGTGCTAGGTCAGTTATTACACCAATGCACTAACGTTTTCGAGCTAGGATCAGATGACGTGCATCCGCAGACGAAACGTTTTTGTTTCCCTGAAGATTTTAGTGGACGCGAGAATTGACGCGCGTCAATCAGATAGTCTGGTCGGCGGGGCGTATCAGATGCGCGCCACTCGGCCGGCGAGCTCAACCGCACGCGATAGAGCGGTGTCGATGGCATCACGGTCCGCGCCACAGAAATGAATGGCTGTGACATCCACGCTCGAGGTGGGGGGAGGGGGGGGGCACCCACCCCCGGGGAGCCCGCCCAATAAAGCATGCTCCAGGTAGCAATCACGAGTACAACGGGCACAACTACCATGTTAATGTTATCATGTCGAAGTCTGCCAAATCAAATTAACTTCATGGGTTCACCATGGTTATTGCGATCAGAGAATCACATATGCCACGTTATATGGCATGTACCGAGTAAAGGCTTTCACTACCCCGTGTGGCGGGTTTGCATACCCAAGGGGCTATAGCGCCATTACGGGCAGATCGGGTAGGCAAACCCGCAGCACTGTGGTGCACTGCCCTTGCAGACTGCTTGCTAAGCCAATCTCGAACAGAAATTTGTGATGGAGGAGCTAAACGTATACGATAGTGCTTACAGTTATCTGTTTTCTTTTGTGAGTGGTGCAGGCTGGGTATGCGGATGCCCTGCTTCTCCGCTCCCCGGGCGGTGTGTGGGGCGCACATTAGCGTCCAGGGCAGATAAGCTCGGCGGGGAGGGGCCGGGACACCATGGAGGCGCCTGGCGCCGCCGAGGGCGCCAGTCCAGCCCCGCAGCGCCTCAGGCTAACGCCCAACACTTTAGCAAAGCTCTTCCTGGTCCTTACCTGTTCTTCCACCTGCGACTCGAGCTTGTTAATGGCCTGATCCTTGTCCTTGCTGGTGGAGTCCCACGAGTCCTGCTGCCCCATGCGCTGCGCCAAGCGCTGCTCCATCATCCGAACCTGGAACAGAAGAGAACAGTCACAGTCCGAGATCGCAACACGCTGACTCGATCGCCTGACCCAACCGGCGGCGTCCACCGGAGCGGGGCACAGGATTCGAGATGAGGAACCCAAACCCAAGACCAAACCAACTCAAACCCAGCCCAGACCCGTGGCCTGGGGCGCTGCCATAGCAGGCGTGGCAGCGCAACAACAGGTGAAAGGACGTGACCGCCATCCAATAGAAGGGTAAGGCACGACGGAGTCGTTTGAGGCAAACCATCCAACTCTGTCACAAATAACGTATTCCACGATATCAAACGCGTCAGCATATTACATGCCACACACGGCACATGGCCAATTAGCTGCCTCCAAATTTCATTTCTTTTTCCACACGCTGTGTATTGGGAAAAGTTTTAGCAAGGAAAGCCAAGTTTTTAGACTACGAAGATTCGACTAGTGAGGTCGGATCTATTTCTTTGCCTAAGACACTCGATCTTTCGATCACAGTACATGAACGATTATCATACCAATTTTTAAACTCTAACTGCCGTTTAAAGTGAGTATCGTCTCAAAAAAGGTTCTTATTGAACCAAAATCTTGATTCAAATTCCACCAACAGTAAATCAAAGTTTCGGCACAATCCCAGTAATCATGGTCTAATATTGTTCATTCACTTATTCAATTTTTTCTCTGCCGACATGACATTTAGGAATGGCCGAGAAAACACTCACCCATATTCTTGAGAAAGGGTTGAATGCAACCAGCTGCTTGGGAAACTGACTAATTCTGATTTCAAATGTTGGCAGCCCTTATCTACCTATCTATCAAAGATGTAAGCAAAATATAATAAAAATAAAAAACGATTGGCGAGTCGATGACGGCCCTTGCTCATGCGGCGGTGTTGCCAGACTGCAGCCCGGGCACGCCTCTCCCCGGCACAAAAGAATATCGACGGCAAGAAGCAAAGGGAAGGAAAAAGGGAGGGGGAGGGGTGCCGTCCTTTTGCAACTGATAGTGGCACTAAGGGACTGAGCCGCGGCTAAGCTGCAGTCGCGCTGGGCACTGGGTCACACGAGGGCGGCGAACCCCGCCCCGCCCCGTCCCGCGAGCCCACCCGCGGCGTCCTGACCCTACAGAATGTCTCCTCCTACCCTACCCAGTCATGCTCGGCTGGCCGCGGACTAGGAGGAGCGGTGCGCGTGGTGGGGCAAGGGTAAAGGAGAAGTGGGGGGGGGG